CATTTTAGTCAAAACATTTAAAACTGCTTTAGAAAACCTACCTGAAGAGGATTATAAAGTCGTCATTCACGCAGATCGGACCCCTCGAGGAGAGCATGAAAGGCGCTGCAATGCACCTTTGATAAACGAAATAGCAGCCGTAATTAGTGGTGATCAATTTTCTTCACGAGACATTGTCTTGCGAGAACGTGATGATACGTTGCAACGCGTAGCCGATACACACAAGTTTTATGACGCTCTGCAATACCCATTGATTTATTGCAAAGGACAAGAGGGTTATCATTTTCAAATTCCACTCATTAACCCGGTCACAAAGGAGCCTACTCCGAACAAAAAAGTATCATGTATGGATTTTTATGCGTATCATATGATGTTGCGGGAAAATGATTTTAACCTCTTAGCCCGGTGTAGACAATTATTTCATCAATTTTTGATAGACATGTATGTGAAGGTAGAAAGTGAGCGTCTCCGTTATATATCTTTAAATCATAAAAAGCTGCGCGTTGAGAATTATATACATTTACAAGATGCAATTTCTAGCGACGCCAATATAAACCCCAGAGATTTAGGTAAAATGGTAATTCTGCCCTCATCATTCGTTAACAGTCCCCGCTACCTACATGAGTACACACAAGACGCATTCGCCTATGTACGAACTTACGGAAGACCTGATCTTTTTGTTACTTTTACTTGCAATCCCACATGGAAAGAAATAACCGAGGAGCTAATGCCGGGCCAAAAAAGTACTGACAGACACGATTTAGTTGCTAGAGTATTTAGATTAAAAGTACAAAAATTAATGTATGTAATTAACAAAGGGAAAATTTTCGGAGAGGTGCAGTGCTTCATGCATTCAATTGAATGGCAAAAAAGAGGATTACCGCATGCCCACATTCTAATATGGCTTAAAGAGGAGCTGCGGCCCAGCCAAATAGACGACATAATAAGCGCCGAGATTCCGGATCCTGAGCAAGATAAAGAATTGTATGATACTATCGTCCGAAATATGATTCACGGTCCATGTGGAGCACGAAATTCGAATATCGCCATGTATGAAAGAAGGAAAATGTACAAAGAAATTCCCTAAACAGCTATTAAAAGAAACAGTGCACAATGACAATTGCTACCCTTTATACAGACGCAGAGCTCCCGAAGATGGTGGCAGGAAATTTACAATCAAATCTCGCTCTGGAGCGTTCGAAACCTTAGATAACAGCTGGATTGTCCCGTATTCGCCCATTCTATGTAAAATGTTTAATGCCCACATTAATGTAGAAGCATGTAGCTCTGTCCACGCAATCAAGTATATCTGTAAGTACATAAATAAAGGAAGCGACCAAGCAATATTTAATCTCAGGAGTGAAGGTGAGGCAAATCCTGTTAATGAAGTACAGACCTTTCAAGCAGGGCGTTATGTCAGCAGTAACGAGGCAGCGTGGCGTCTCCTTGGCTTCTTTTTACACGAAAGGCACCCAACAGTTACTCACCTTGCTGTGCACTTAGAAAATGGAGAGCGTGTATATTTCACCGAAAGAAATTTCCAAGAAAGAATTGCATCACCGCCAAAAACTACACTAACAGCATTCTTTCAACTTTGTCAAACCGACCCCTTTGCAAAAACGTTGTTATATTCTGAAGTCCCCCGCTATTATACTTGGAGCACAGCTAGGAAGGAGGGGAAACGCCGTATTCAAGGCGCGCCTGTTGCAAATTGGCCCGGTGTGCTTCCCGGTGTGGTTTCTGTTTACGATTGCTGCTGTACCAAGTTCGGGGTCCTACAGGATATAAAGACCTTAAAACTGTCAACGGTCAGGAATGCGCAACTTATAGAGAAGCATGTGAAACTCTGCATCTTTTAGAAAACGATAATCACTGGGATGAAACCATGGAGGAAGCTGTGCAGTGCCAGTCACCAGACAAAATTAGGGATCTTTATGCAACTCTCATATCATCTTGCGGGCTAACTAATGCACATGAATTATGGGACAAATATAAAGAGTACATGGCGGAAGATATTTTGCGAAGGTTACAGCAGACACACGCGAACATGATATACAATGAACACATTTATAATGAAGCAAGTGGAAAAATTGAAGATAATGTAATGGCAATGGTAGGCAAAAAATTAAGCGACTTTGGAATGATAAGCCCTCGAACAACGAAAATAACTTTATACTGAAGAAGTGGAAAAATACACATTTATAATGAAGCAAGTGGAAAAATTGAAGATAATGTAATGGCAATGGTAGGCAAAAAATTAAGCGACTTCGGAATGATAAGCCCTCAGCGAACAACCGAAAATGAACTAAGTGATGAAATTATACGTTAAACAAACTACGATTACCTACTACCAGCTTTGCAGCAGCAAGTAGCCGAATTTGTACCCCGCTTGCTTCCCGAACAAAAACGAGTTTTTGACAAAGTATTAGGACAAATTGAATCTGGAAATGGTGCACTTTTATTTTTAGATGCCCCTGAAGGAACTGGGAAGACATTTTTGTTAAATTTATTATTAGCGCAAGTACGGAAAGATAAAAACATTGCTGTGGCCGTAGCTTCCTCCGATATAGTCGCCACGCTGCTAAGCGGGGGCCGCACTGCACATTCTGTTTTAAAACTCCCTCTAAATATAGCCCGGGAAGAATCGCCGATCTGCAACTTTAGGAAAAATAGTGCACGAGGTATAATGCTACGACAATGCAAACTTTTAGTGTGGGACGAAAGTACAATGTCGCATAAAAAAGCCGTAGAAGCACTAAATCGCACGCTCCAGGATTTGCGCAGCAATACCGATATAATGGGAGGAATGGTGGTTTTACTGGCTGGTGACTTTCGCCAAACTTTACCTGTCATTCAAAAGGGCACACCTGCAGATGAAATTGAAGCATGCCTCAAGTCGTCTATTTTATGCAACAAGGTGATAAAATTTAGTTTAACTACGAATATGAGAGTGCATTTGTATAATGATATCAATGCTGGAAACTATGCTGACATACTATTAAAAATTGGCGATGTGCGGTTGGAAACGAATCCTGAGGGCTGCGTTAAATTGACGAGAGATTTTTGTAATGTAGTACAGTCATTCCGAATTAATTACGAGCGTTTATTCAGATTTAACGAACAACATGCATGAAGACAAATGGTTATGTGAAAGGGCGATTCTTGCACCAAAAAATGAGAGCGTTAACAAAATAAATTCAGATATATTAAGCGAAGTAGCAGGAGAAATAACAGAGTATTTGTCAGTAGACACAGTTATGGACACAGAACAGAGCACTTCATATCCCGCAGAGTTTCCAAATTCCTAGAGTTGTCAGGTGTGCCCTCACATAAGCTTCAATTAAAATTAGGCGTCCCAGTCATGCTAATGCGAAATTTAGATGCTCCTCGGTTATGTAACGGGACAAGGCTGCGTGTGACACATCTTGGACGGAACATAATCGGTGCTACAACTTTGACAGGCGTAGGAAAAGGTGAAAATGTTATTATACCACGTATCCCTATAATTCCCACAGATCTTCCTTTTCAATTCAAAAGGTTGCAGTTCCCTATTAAGCTCAGTTTTGCAATGACAATTAATAAAGCGCAAGGGCAAACGTTACATGTAGCGGGGGTCAACTTAGAAAAACCGTGCTTCTCTCATGGTCAGCTGTATGTAGCATGTTCGCGTGTGTCAAATGCCCAGAATCTCCACATTCTTTCCCCGAATGGAAAAACATATAACATTGTGTACAGTAGCGTCAAATAGTGTTCAGTTAGTTTTTTTTTCCAAAATTCCCACAATCAATTAATCAGAATTCCCACAGATCTTCCCTTTCAATTCAAAATTTCCTATTTAGCTCAGTTTCTTTTCAATTCCAAATGCTGCACCTCTGATGGACCTATTAAGCTCAGTTTCCTTTCAACTCAAAAGCCTGCATCTCTGACGGATCTTTTATTTGGCTCAGTTTCCTTTCAATTCAGAAAACTGCACCTCTGACGAATCAATTTAGCTCAGTTTCTTTTCAAAAGTCTGCATCCCTGACGGATAATTATGCTCACTTTCCTTTAATTAAAAAATATCCCATTTCCATTTGGAATAAACAGGCTGTTTTCATGCTTTCCTATAAGCTGCATTTCAAAACATTTAAATAGGCTGACGAATCAATTTTGCTCAGTTTCCTTTTAATGGCTGCATCTCTGACAAATCTATAAAACTCAGTTTTCTTTCAATTCAAAAAGCAATGGATAGTTCATTGCCCAGTGACCATGCGGGCGAAGCTGCGGGTAACAGCTAGAAAAAGATAAAAAGTACAAAATGTTTAACTGATTGTCATTCATAAATATACAGCGCCTAATATTATATTACGCACGCACACTTTCATAAGGGAGTGTTAAATTCGAAAGCAGTCGGTGGTGTTCGGCCAGTTCGACGTTTGGGCTCGGTTACAGATTTAGGTATCTAAATAGTTGTTTTAACTCTGTAAATACAAGCGCGTTCCCCGCCCTTTCCCTTCCGTAAACCGTTACACTGCTAGGTACATTAGAAAGAATAAAATACAAATATATTTATATACATGGCATAAGATTTTACTGGCAGATAAATGTAGGTGGTCACTGAAAATATGTTATTATTTATTAAATTCGTCTCGGTCCTTTTTAAGCTTTATACGACGTTCTATTAACAGTCTTCGTCATTTAGTAAAAATTAATACACGTGCATCAAAATCAAAATCTGAATCCTATTCTGATGAGCTGTCTAGCAAATCTAGGAGCGATCTATGACAACTCATTATAGGTAACACTCTGTATAAACAATTCGCTCCAAAAAAACACGTCTATATAGTAAGTTTGAATGATTTCGAGTGAATATATCATTTCATATACTATCGTATCTGCGTTGTCTGTGACTCGCTTAATTCAATAAGATTTACCTCTGCCTCTGTCCTCCATCTTCAAATGTATGAGCAGCAAACTAAGTATTGCAAACAGAACAGTAGACAACATATAATACTAGTTACCTGTTTCACTTTTAAGATCTCTTCCTTTGGTGCAACTGGTGCACAACCTTCAGTACGCACTGCTGCTGTCAATTCATCAATCTTTGACATATCTGCGTTTGGTGCTCGATACTGCTCACAGTGGTCAACACGAATTGTCCTGCCTAATATCTGTAAAATCAATATACCTATTTTTATAATTAATTCAAGTGTTTGTTCAAAGCATCATTTATAACTAATAACCTTAATTCCATTTAAGTTATCCACAGCTAAAATAGTTGAGCGTTGATCTTCATAACAAATAAAAGCAAATCCCCTAGATTTGCCAGTAGCTTTATCTCTTACTAAATTAATGTTAACTATTTCACCGTACCTGCAAAAATAGCTTATCTGATTATTAACATAAAATTAAGTCATATTCTCTGAGTAGTAAAGGCCATAGGTGAATAAGGAAACAACCTGTGCCTTTGAGTGATTTCAACTTGATTTTTTTCCATAACTCACAACTAGTACATATAATGCAACAAATATTTTCAGAAAAACCAGTGGTTGGAGTAAAAAAGTAATAAGACTAAATTTTCAACAAATCACACACAGCATACGAACAAAATAGCCAGAATAGCTTCCTAGGACCTTGAAACAACAAGATCTGCTGAAAACTCGATTTTCCAAAAATGAGGTGAAAACAATAACTTCCCCATTCTTTGAAAATCATTGATTTTCATAGTGGGAAGTTAAAAAAACATTGACATATTTGAATTTTGTTATATGCGATTTTTAGAAATTTATTTTTATCGTCATTAATTCAAAAGGCATTTCCAAAATCCAAAACAGTGTAAAAAGTTCAACTTTGTCCCTGACAAACTTCCTAAATTAAAAACAAAATTAAAAAATCAAGTACCGGCCATCTACTTCATAATACTAGACCAAATTGAAATATTTGCATTTCGTTATAAACAATTTTTAGTGAAATTTATTTTTATCATAATTAATCCAAAACGCATTTCCGACATCCAAAAACAGTGTAATAGGTCAAAGCTTAACCCTAACAAGCCTCATAAACTAAAAACATTATTAAAATCAATACTGGACATCTATAGTCAACCCTAAACTTGGGTTTAACAACATTATCTTTGATATGCCCAGACAAAACTATGTCATAATAATCTATGTTACATCAAATCAAAAAACATGTGTTTACAATTGTACAGGATAAATTGAATTAATATTTTTTTAACTTTTGCTGTTGGTTCTTTTTTTTTATAGGATAGGCTGACAAACAAGCACACAGTCCACCTTATGGTAAGTGGTTGCTGCGGCCCATAGACATCTACATCTATCCTCGATTACAAATCAATATGCACATGCGTTGTCACCCATGAGAACTAAGATGGAATGCCTAATTTCCAGGAAAAAAGGTCTCCGGTTCTCTACACTCACCATATGAAACACAGCAGCATTAAGCTACTATTTTAAGCTGGTATTCTGTGAGAGTGGTCCTTCCCCAGTCGAGCCGACCCATTCATGCTACAACTATAATACTAATATAACTGCAGCATGGCTCTACCATGTATATAAATCATACCATTACTCATGTATACCTTTGGCATACTTAGGTGGACTCAAACGCCTTGGATAGAAAAGTCCGCACTACTATGACATCACCAGAGTTCTTCGATTATGAGTGACCGTGACTTTTTAAGCACGCTTACCATGCATAACCACGAAGTATGCAGCCTCCGTAATTGCTTTCTGAAGAGATCAGATGATTGATACTATAGGGACATCATTTCTTGTGATAAAGGGCTTACCCCACTATCTTTAGCCAACGAGCAATGACCCGGCAGTACAGATCATTTCCGACCGGTAGACCGTAATGAAGGAAAAAGAGCTCCACAGGAGATTCTATAAGGCTCTAAATGATCCTTTCGTAGACAAAGGTGCCTCCCTCCACTGGCTATGTTTTGGTGACCTCTTTGGGGAAACTATAGGGTTTCGTCTGTGCGATACAGGATCAGGTTATTAAGGCCAACAACTATCGGAGATACATCCTAAGTCACTTAGGCATGTCATCTCTGGTTGTTCAGCGCTTTCTAACTCTGAGTACTTGCACAAGCATATCCTAGTAGCCCGAATTCTACACAAGGAGCTTGCTCCAAAATACGGTCTCATGGACTGGAAATTGCTGTATTACAAGTACTTGCAGGAAGCCATGCTCGAAAATGTCCGCGCCAGGCTCTACTGAGCCAAGGCCATCATCACAGGTAGGACTATTCTTGTGAATAAGCCTGATATTGTGCTGATGGACTGGGCACATTCAAGGATATTTTTGGTCGATATTATCATTCCGTATGACAAGAACCTCGTGAAAGCCGAAACAGATAAGCGAACAAAATACCTGGACCTGGGTCACGAGGTGACCGATATGTGGGGTGGGCTGCTGAATTTATACCTGTAGTCGTTTCTGCAAATGGGTTAATCCAAATCAGCCTCTCGGGTCATCTGAGGCGACTGGGACTCCGTGATGGACCGCTCCGGACGGTGCTTCTCAATACCGCTAGCATTGCCCAATGGTTTTTTTCCCTTTCCCCCTAACCCTCAGCCGTTTGGTCTCCCCTGCCAAGGGCTTCCATTTGGTTGGGTTTTTATTAATTTATGTATTTATTTTATTGCATTGTCCGCCAGTTTTTTTCCCTTTTCCCCTAACCCTCAGCCATTTGGTCACCCCTGCCGAGGGCTTTCATTTGGTTAGGTTTTTATTTATTTATGTATTTATTTTATTTTATTGATATTTATGTATATTTATCATTTTCACTTACAATTATATATTTTTAGAATCCAACCAGATGAGAAAACTATAGAGATACCCCATTATAATTAAATAATAAAAGTGACAAAAATATAAATTAATTACATAAATACACGTTTATAGATTGTAGTTTAAAAGGGGATTAAATGATAAATTTATTGTAGATTTTGTACAGTCGAACCTAATTAGAATCACAATCAAACACACAATAACAAATGGAAATTATATAATTAAATTATTTCTAAACGCAAATGAGAAATCACTTACTGAGAAAACACACAAATTATATCACCTTCTGTTAAATCATAGGGCATGCCACCAATGAATATCCAAGCACTGTCTTTGTACTGATCATGCCATGAGGTCTTAGAATTACCAGTTAATTCTCGCTCACTGAGTTTTAAAACATTTTTAACATTTCTGAAACAATATATTAATGACTCAATAACATATCTTTAGAGATTAATGCTAGCTAATTGTACAAACTGCAAAAGTGAGCAGAACAGTTAGCACCAATCAAATTACTTTTGAAATTAAATTACTTTACATGTCCAGTATAAATGGCATATTGAGTGCCAAGTGCCAATAACCCTTATAAAGTTTTATAAATAAATAAACATAAGAACCCAGAATTATATTTATATATTGAGAAAACATACGTCATAGGATTCATGTTTGCACTGAATCTTGCTGTCTTCTCGTTTGCAAATGTAAACCTCAAACTTTTATTATTATCTTTGGTTAAATTGTTTCTAACCAAAATCAATAAACATTGAACATTGCGTTCAAATAATTCTGCATTTTGCAATATCAAAGTCAAAAGTCAAAACACCACAAAACCACGGGTGGTAATCAGGGTTGCCGTTCTACAAATTTTAAAGTCCCTAGACTAACAGAAAAAATCCGCCAGAAACAGGATTTTTCTTCTTCTTAAAATCCGCTAGATGTCCCTAGGTACATTTTTGTGGTACCCAATGGCTTACTGAAAAATCTTGCCAAATGGTATACAATTAATACCGAAAATCTAAATCTATAAATTCAGAAAATCCTTAAAAAGAGCGGACTCTATTTCATGTAAATCAATTATATATAAGGTAATGAGTAAAATTAGGTTAATGACATGACAACTAAAACAAAAATTATTCATGCACAAAATAAAAAAAATATTGTAAAAAAATAAACGTTTAAAAATTAGTCAACATCTTATTAAAAATAAAACAATTAGCTCAGTACGTTCTTGTACCTAAATTTCAAAATTAATAGCGAAGTATGGATCCAGATCTTCAAAAAGAACTTCAGCGGAAGTTGAAGTTTCGCCAATGTCTCCAGTTCCCATCTTTGGTTTGCCTTTACCGACTTGGTTGACATCTTCGGAAATATCATACGTTGCGCAGTTCTTTTTTTGATCCCTAACTGATTTCTAAACAGAAGAATGGTATTTAAAATTTTTTGTGATAGCTTGTTTCGCAGTTTGCTTTTAACTACATTCATAGCACCAAATACGCGTTCAAAGTCTGCATTTGAGTGCGGTAGTGATAATATTACTATTGCAAAATTAAATAAATCTTTGAATATGTTTACTCCTACTGCGTTTTTGTATGTCGAAACCTTAGAACATGGTCTCAGGTCAAAACAGATGAAAGTGAATGAACGACATTGAATTGTTAGTTTATGTTCGGGAATTCCCGTGAAATTATATTATATATACAGTGTTACCAATGGTAGATTACAAAATTGGACATATGATAAATGACTTATTTGAAATTAATTACTTTGTAAAAAAAGTCTCCATTTCAAAAGTCCAAATGTCGCTAGAAGTCGCTAAATAATTATTTCTCGCTAAAACGATTTTTTTATCCGCTAAACACTGCTAAAATCCGCTAGATCTGGCGAGAAAGTCGCTAAAACGGCAACACTGGCTGGTAATCTCTATACAAATATTCCTAGCCTTTTTTTTTTTTTTTTTTATATGGCAACCTAACAATTACTGCCAACCTCCAGTCAATAAAAATACTTGTAACTTGAAACGAAACGACGGACAATCTAAAGAGAAACTACGATTCTGATTAAAAACCAAAATCATAATGTTAAGAACCATAGAATACTATAATAATGAATCATGAAATGACTTGTACTGAAGTATATTAAATAAATGATGGATATTAGGTTGAATTAAAATAATACTAAACTCAATACCACATTAAAAATAATCAGTATTACTAAATAAAGACGATTGATAGCTAAATAATGAATAAAATTTTATAATCTAATATTATTTAAATCTAAAAAAGTCCATAAGACAATTGAAAACATTTTTACTTTTTTTAGAAAAAATTAAAAGAGAACAAATTTCTGTAGGAAGAGGAATTTTAAGATTTACCAAAGTGTTAAATAATGAAGTATGATCATATAACGGACACGAGAAGAAAATATGGTTGAGGTCACCAATATCCAAACCACATTCACATATTGAAGAATTTTTAATATGAAGCCTAGCAAGGTGAACCGAATTACAGCAGTGATCCAAGCGCATTCTACATAACATTGATGTATGTTTCTTATTTAAGGATAATTTATAAAACCAAGGCTTAGAAGGAATGATGGGTTGAATTTTGGCATAGTGACAGCCTTTTGTCGTTTTGGTTTTGTTCCAATGTTTTGACCATCTATCTCTATATACTAATTTCGTAGTTCTTATAAGGTCGTAGCAATAATTTTTAAATAAGAAAGTATCCCCACAGACTATAGCTTGTTTAGCAAGTTTGTCAGCATATTCATTACCAGATATACCAATATGACTCGGAATCCAAGCGAGAGAAATGTTGATGTTTTGAAATTGGTATAAGAATAGAAGTTTCTTAATTTCAAATATCAAAGGATTGCGGGAAATGTCATAGAAAGGATTACATAACAATGCTTGTAAAGAACTAAGAGAATCTGAAAATATCACGCTTGATTTTAATTTAAAAAGATAGCAATATTTTATTGATTGTAAAATGGCTAACATTTCTCCAGTAAAACTGAAGATTCGGGAGGACTTTTCATTTTTTGAACTATTCTCCAATTTTGATGGTATATTGCATATCCAGTACAACCTTTTGAGTTAGTCTTAGAAGCATCTGTAAAAATATAATGACAATCTGGGAAATTCTTGTCCAACGTAAATACAAATCTTTTATTTGATTCAATAGAAAATTTATTTAATCCTATATCTAATATAACATTGGGTTTGAAAAGTGCAACTTCAAACGAATTGGAGAAAAGAGGCAGAGTCGCCGACCTATAAATAGGATCTAGTAAGGAATTATAATGTTCATAGCTTTTAACTAGGTTAGGAGTTTCTTTATTACGCCAGTATTTTCCTGAATTAATTGAAATGTACTGAGAAAGCAAACGAATTTTAGGTAGTAATGGATGGTTTGAAAATTGAAGAACCCGATAAAAAAAGGAATCCGATAAATATTGTCGTCTAATAAAAAGTGGAGGATCACCGCATTCAATCTGCAAGGCATTGATAGGCGACGAATTCATAGCGCCTATAATTAATCTTAAAGACTTGTGTTGAATGATATCTAATATTTTTAATCCTTTTTTACTAGTTGGTTCAAGAAGAAATGAGGCATAATCTAATCGGCTTCTTATAATTGCATTATAAATTAATTTTAAATAATATGGATGAGCGCCCCACCATACCCCGCACAAAGCTCTAAGAATGTTTATATTTTTTTCGCATTTTTTTTGGGTATAAATTATATGAGGCATGCCGGATAATTTATTATCAAGAATTACACCAAGGAATTTAACTTGTTGAATATTTACGAGCGGATAATCAAAAAGGCGAACTTGGATTTCAGGTAAAACTCTTTTGCGAGAAAAAATTACTGTATTACTTTTATTTAGGGAAAGTTCTAGCCCATGATCATCTAACCAAGAGGCCATAGAGAGGAGATCTTGTTCTATCGCATTAGCACAAGATTCTATACATTTATCATTAACATAAACTAAGATATCATCAGCATATTGCAAAATTCTACACTTTGAAATAGACTGGTCCAAATCTGACGTATAAATATTGTATAATAAAGGACTTAAAACAGAGCCTTGTGGAAGGCCTTTAAAAACCTTTCGAGTATATTTTAGATCATCATCAATTTTAATATGTATATATCGATCTAGAAATAAATTGATAATCAAATTTGTAAGTTTTTTGGATATATTAAGCTTAAACATCTTTTCTCTAAGGATGTTGAGTCTGACATTATCGTAAGCAGAAGAAATATCAAGGAAAGCAGCAAGGACCGATTCATTTCTCGAAAATGCTAGTCTAATATCTGTGGTGAAGATAGAAAGACTGTCATATGTGCTTTTACCTTTTCTGAATCCATATTGGGAATTTGATAACAATCCATGACTTTCTACATACCATTCAAGACGGTTCTTGATCATATGTTCAAAGGTTTTAATTAGAGTTGAGGATAGAGCGATCGGTCTATAAGAAGAGCCGTCGTTAGGATTTTTGTCAGGTTTCAAGATAGGTATAATTACTTGAGTCCGCCAACAGTCAGGAACAAAGCCTATGTCAAACAAAACGTTAATGATATTTAAATAATAGAATAAAATTTGATCATTACATTTGGCAAGTAGTGAATATGGAATACCGTCTAAACCAGGAGCTGAATCTTGAACGTGAGAAAGGACGAGCTTTAATTCATATAAAGAAAATGGACGCTCTAAGGGATCAAAAAAAGAATCACATGGAATACTTTGAGGTAGCTCCTCTCTCAAAGGAGCAGAAGAGGGGGCAAGTTTATCTAGAAAAGTGTTTATAGATTGAGAGGGAATGGCACCACCGTAAGAACAAGATGAAAAACAACAGCGAAATTTTCTAATATTACGCCAAACAACTGATGAAGGTATTGAAGGAGAAATTGAGGAACAAAAGGCATGCCAACGTGTTTGTTTTTTTGTGCGAAGAGTATTTTTAGTCACTTCTTGTACACGTTGAAGGTATGAATAGTTTTCCGAACTCATGTCTAATTTATATTGTTTTTCGGCTTTTTTTCCTATTACGAATGGCCTCAGAACATTCAGAATCCCACCATGGAGGGGGAGGGCCTACATTTATTATTTAGAGTTTTAACAGGAATTGTTTGATCTGCTGCATTTATAACTGCGTTTGTAAATGCTTCAACAATAGAAGTTATATTATTTTCAGAAATAGGAGCGATTTTTAGAATTTCATTGTAAAGAAAAATATTGTACAGGTTCCAGTCTGCTCTGTCTAATTTGTATTTAATACATGGTTTTTTGTTAATTTCTGCCAATTCTTTGTTTGGAAAGGAAATCAGAATGGGAAAATGGTCACTGCCGTGAGAGCTATCTAGAACTGACCAATTTAGAAGAGTGGTTAAATCAGGAGTACAAATTGATAAATCTACAGCACTTCTAGACTCACTAGGACGAGAGCGTTTGGTAATTTTACCAGTATTAAGGACACAAATATTAAGTTCGTCAATTATTTCAACTAATAAACTACCGTATTTATCAGTATTATCACCCCATAAATAATGATGACAATTAAAGTCACCAAGAATTATAAATGGTTTGGGTAAGGAGGCTATTAAAGATTTTATTCTGCGAAACGTATGGACAGAAGGGGAGGGAACATAAATAGAAACGAAAGTTATATTTTGAATTCTTACTGCTACAATATTAAAGTCAAATATTTCATCATAAACATCTATAATGGAATAAGTTATATTATTTTTTATAAGCAAAGCACATCCGGCATAACCATCAGATCTGTCACTTCGAATAAGACAAAAACCAGGTACTCTGATATTCGAATCCGGTTTTAGCCATGTCTCTGAAATAGCAGCGATACACACACTGTATTTCTTTAATAAATAGATTATTTCAGTACGTTTATCTAAAATGCTTCTACAATTCCATTGAAGGATCTTTGTGAGAGTGAATGTCTTGGAGAATTTTAGGTATAGAATTTAGTAAACGAGCAACGTGGGACGGTAGTTTCGACGAATACGAAGATATGATTATGTTAATAAGAAAACTTATAATGCTTTCTACAGAATCAAAATTACCCTGTGAAGTAACTGGTGAAACCCGAAGAGCACAACCATCCTCAGGTTGCGGAATTGAAAAATCTTCAATAATTTTTTGATGACTTTTTTTGTCGTATCCTGTTTGTGAATGGTGACGTAATGGTTTAGGAATATATAATGTTTTCTTATAAGAAGTTTTATTAGATGTAGCGGGGTTGGAAGGAAAATTATTCACTGTAGGATTAGTAGAAAGCGAAGAATTTTCAGGGAATTTAGAAATCAAAACATCAGCATATGATTTTGAAGAAACTTGTGGATATTTTTGAGATGCTTCTAGGTATGAGATAGACTTTTGTGCCATTTCAATTTTAATATTATTTTGTCTTGTGTGTTCAGGACATCTAGAATCTGTGGCTTTGTGGTTACCTGAGCAAAATAAGCAACGAAAAGATCCATTATCTTTGTCGCAAGAAGAAGAGGAGTGATCACCTCCACATTTTGAGCATCTTGGCTTGGAACGACATAAATCCTTTGTATGACCAAATCTGCAGCACTGAAAGCATTGGATCGTTGGAAGCTTATAAATTTCAACAGGAATGGAAGAATAGCATAAATAAACCCTCGAGGGAAGAATTTGACCGTCAAATGTGATTACGACACTTTCAGAGCTTTCATATCTGACTTTGTCCTCGTTGCGAACTCGGTAATTTAATCTTCTTACTTTTAATACAGGAATGGTATTTGGATACGAAGATAATTCGGAAATAATCTCTTCTGGTGTCCAATCTTTTGGTACACCTTTTATAACTCCCATACGAGATACGTGAAATGATGGAATAAAGGTTTTATATTTATCATTTACGGATGGATTTTCTAAAAATAGATTTGCATCAATAAATTTAGAGAATTCAACCGTTATTCTATTTCTCCCGATACGTTTTAGGCCTCCATTAACTATATTTTGTACATTTAATTTTTTCAAAAAGTGACCAAATGAAATGGCATTTAAAGTTTTACCAGAATTAGGAGAGTCTTCTTTTACTTGAACATGAACGATAAAAGGACCTGAATCTGTAGAATTATAAGAACGAAGAGATTGAAATCTTTGTGACTCTATTTTTTTATTATCGCTATCAATATGCGTGTTAAGAGATTTAGAAGAGATATAACTATTGGCAGAATTTAATGTTTGTGATAGAGGAATGCCAGATGATTGTGAAAGAGGGATTTCAGATGATTGTGTACAAGCAATATTGGATGATAAAGACATGGGAGATTCATAAGCACGTTGTCCTGACATGTTGCCTTTGATAGAGTTAGAGCCTACAATTTTAATTTTAGATGATGAAGTATTACCAGTATCGTAGTCCGATTCTGAGAATGAAGAATTGGTGGAAAAAGCTGAAATTCTTCTATTTATGTCAACCCGATTAGCATGCTCTTCCTTCTTCCTTTCCTTCGTTTTATGTTTTCTTTTCTTTTTGTTTGAAATAATTTTGAAGTTGTCATCAAAAATTTCTTGCGATAATGACTGCCGTGGTTTTTTAAATGAACCTTCTAAATCATTTTCAATTTCCACATAAGCAGCTGGTGAGGAAATAATGTTTGTGTCAGAATAATTCGGATCCGGTGGCTTAGGCGGAATTGGATTAGACATGGCGACCGAGAGACTAAGGCTACGTTAAACTATTTTGTGATAGTATGAAATTGTCGCTAAATGAGATACAATATGAAAATGCAAATAAATATTATTAATATATACTAAAATATAAAAGGAATGTAATCAGAATATTACAAGAAAACTTAAAATAATTAAAATGACAACAAAAACGCGCAAAACCGTTATTGACGTTCAGTTGACCAACCATTCCTAGCCTTATGTCTATGGCCCTCAAAAATCGATGTTGACAGCTATTGGGTACGTTTGGCAGAAAAAAGCTCTAGCAAGCGCTTGTAAGCAAAATGGCGATCGTAAGCGGTAAGCGCTGTCAAATCGTAAGTAGCTATTTTCCTCCAGGACACGATGTTAGTTTTAACCGGTGAATCTAACCTAATTTAAATATATGTTTGTAAAGTATTCATATTAAAAACTTACCAATCATGAATTTTTAATAACATGTATATGTCTATTCATGTCATTATATTACTTAAAACTAATGTTGCACAAAAAAACTTATAAACTCTATTTCAAAACAAACAAATTAAATAAGCAAAATGGCGGATTGTGTCAGCACTACTGAAGTAGCAATCGTGTCCTGGACGAAAACTATTTTAGCGCTTGTAAGCGCTTGCTAGCGCTTTTTTCTGCCAAACGCACCCATTGACTACAAATGTATAAATATGTAGCTACGGATTTAGATTGACGTTTGTTTTGACGTTTCTGTCCACACCCTACCATGTGTCGTGGCATGCGCCGCGGCCATTACGCGACGCCATAAAGTAAAGTGTAAAAAATTCGAAGGTTATATACAAGAACATAAATAAATACAGTAATCTATGTAGTATGTACAAGAACTTACATAATAATAAGTTGCATGTGTGCTACTTTTTATTATATATGTGTTATGGAGTGAAGACCGCGTCTAGGCGTAGTGTGGGAGCCTCCTGACCAGATGGAGCGACGATCTGCGCAAGGTGGCTGATAAAAACTGAATGCGTGTAGCCGAAGATCGGGCTAAGTGGCGCGCCTTGTGAGAGGCCTATTTCCAGCAGTGGACTGCTGCTGATGATGATGATGTGTGCTACCGACACTTTGAGCTGCGATTTGTTATCCAGAATAAATCTGGTATTCACCAGGATCTAAGATCAAAGTAACCAGGATGCATATCTCACGTTGTTTACAGAAGCTGAGATCACGACCGGTCAGTAATTTTTCTATTTATTTTTTCTTAATTCATTATTCCTATAAATATACATCCTATGAAAGCCTGCTGCTGACTGCAGGCATCCTCCATAGATTGCCACTTAGGGAAGATTTTGTCATAGTTGGCGCAGGATAGTGTATATGCCTTGGTTTTCAAACTTGGCAGGCGAGTTGATTACAAGATCTTGACAATGGTAGGCCCTACTTTTTAAACATAACATTCACACTACTATCATTATATATATTTGATATTTTCATATTTGTTCTCAAGAACATAAATCACCTCTCAAAAGTAAAAATGTATCAAATGTCAAAATAAGAGTTCTAGCAAATATTGACTAGGGAAGCTGTAGACTATATTGTATACAATACAAGATGTTAACAGTTACATCTTTATACATATTAGAATCATGAAAATTAGTAAGAAAATGCTAAGATAGGTATATTTCAAAAAGCTAGTGACGATAATATACATAGATGTAATATACAACTTACGAAGAGAAATGTATCAATATTGCCTAAAACCACTTTATTTTTATACAGTTCTGGACCATATTCCATGGCAGTTAAACTATATAACACATTACTCAAAGATATAATAGAAATAGAAGAATATAAGAAGTTTGTGATAGCACTAAATAGCTTTTTGATTAAGAAATGTTACTATAAATTAGATGAATATTATGTTAAGTTAAAGTAAATAAATAAATATAGTAATGGAATATACACTAAATATTATAATAATACAAATATTAGTATTAGAATTAAGGCATTAGAGCTAGCTAGCTTGATTTCATATTGTTATACTTTTGCTGGGTGCATGTGCTGTAATTTATCATACAAAACCACATGTAAATGCAATATATAAATAAATAAAAGACAACCACTATTTCAATACACACCACAGAGACAAACTATACCTACCACCATCAAGAATTAAAATGCTAAACCAGAGTCGCTACTACATGGCTGTAAAAACACAACATTTACAATAAATTACATATCCACATAAAAACTGAAAATAAGATTACACTATTCATTAAAAAACTAAAAGCATTATTATTATTTAATTGAAAAATGTTTCTACTCAATCAAAGAATACATTGAAGCACTAGTAACAAAACACAAATAACAAATTACATATTTTTAACACAAATAAAATACATAAAAAAGGAAAAGCCGTTTTGATACACAGTAATATTATGAACAGTATCAGTAGAAGAACAATTATGTGTTTATGTAAAATGTCAAAAATTCCTTTGTATTTTGCATGATTTATTATTGTTCGTTTATTAGACTATATTATTGATCATTAATCTAATTTCTCTATAATGTTTGTATTTAATAATTTATTTTATCTATACTTTCTCAAATTTGCAATGCCTAAATAAAGACAAATTGTTTTTATTATAAGACCATTTATGTACGCTTCGTTGGCAAATAAAAGTTGATTGATTGATTGACAAACATCATGTGTTGTAGTCATATACCACATGAAGCTTTATTATGGTGGTAGTATGAATCAACTCGACTAGGGACTCACACTCTCATTAAATGCCCACGTAAAATAGCAGCCTAATTCTGCTGTGTTTTGTACGATAAGTGTAGACTATCAAATTAGTTCAGTCAAAACAGGTGCATTTCTGGCAGTTGACTTAACATCTGACGAAGAATACAAATACATGTTGAATCAACCTGTTATAATGGTCATAGGTGTTATGGGTGCTGCAAAGCAGTGAAAATATAGGAAGTTAAAAGTAAGAAATTTAAATGGGATAACATCTGTATAAGTTTTATAAAAACTTGTTTTGCTTTTAGTGGTTTTGTTTCCTTTTATTCTACTGTTAACAAAACTTACTTTATCATCATCATTACAGCTCTTAATAAGTCCATAGCTGAACATTAGCCTCCCCCAAGGAATACCACAAAGCACAGTCCTGAGCCACCAGCATCTATTGACTTCCTGTATATCTTCACAGATTGTCACTCCTACTGCCCTACACTTTGGCTACCGGCACAAGGCTGACTCTTGAGAACCTTTCTTCTCTATTGGTTGTCGGTTCTACGAGCTATATTGACGGTCCATTGCCACTTCAGATTATTAATCCGCTATGTTATGTAAAAATATAACCGTATCTAATATCTAAACTGGCGACAAAAAAAGTAGAATGTGAATGCTAATCTACCAAGTACAATAGTAGATTGTTTACAAGCTGATGTCAAACAATTGAACTATTTTATTAATTCAATTGTAATTCTCATTTGTTTATGTTAGATTTTGTTTTATGAATAACTTATATGTGACCATTGAAAACTTAACCCTTAGTGACTGATTGTATCTAAAAAGAACCTTTGCAATACTCACACAATCTTAAATAAAATGCTACTATGTTTTATCAACTCATTATTACTTTTTTTTAATTTTATTTTTGTTGCAGGTTGAAAACTGCCTAGGAGTACTCGGCTATTAAATAGATATTGCTGCATATTTGGTAAATGGGGGAGCAACAAGCACAAACCATAAATACTACAAGGAGAAAAATTTGAGAAAAGTTGTTACATCATTTGAATTGAATATGTGACCTATGTGCAAAGAACCATCAGTTCCCCCCGATAAAAAATTAGATTGTAATTATAAAGGTTTCAATGGCTGTGGCAATATTTAAAAGAAATTGATGTTTTGCGCCTAGAAAGAAAGAATTTGCTTGCACTTGTAAATTTACACTGAAATGTAAAAATAAAAGACTTAATAAATATTTCTGTATTTTATTTCTTTATATGTAAATAAACGTTAATAGCGGTTTAAATTTATGTACGTGGTCACGTTGTGAACACGTACATAAGTTTAAACCAATAAAAATAAATTTTCAAAGTTCTAAGAGGATTTTTTACAGCCACTGGCCACTAGGCTGAAACAAATAAATACCTTTGCCTTAGATAAATTTAAAAACGTAAATGTCACTTTCAATTTTTGAGGCTGCTATAGACCAATTTTTTAGTATGGAAGATTGTCGTCTGTACGTTAATACTCTTATTAGTTTGTGCCACAAAGCTCTGTGAATGACAAATGACGATGACCATTATAAGGACAATGACATGTGACGTAAAAAATATCGATATATCGAAATCTCGATATTTGCCCTTATGATAATATATACAATATGTAACGTAATTAACGCACACCCTCTGTCTGAGGGTGTGCGTTAATTACGTTACATATTTATTAATTAGCATATTATGTTATAATCATAATACATACACTGAATTTTTAGTTAAACACTTTTATGCACTGATTATTTATCAAATTAGTTATACTAATTCGGAAGAATGTTGTGGTAACAGTATAAATCCACGAACGCAAAGACTTTAACGTGCTTGAAATAAAGTTAATTTTTCTTCATTTTTATTGAATGACGGAATTAGTAATAATACAAATAAAACTGCACTCTTAAAAGTCTTATTGCCTTAAGTTACGGTCCATTTCAGTTTGTTTTGACTGTACAGATTTAGTGTGCCTGTAATTTACGTTGTTTTAATTATTTTTGTGACAAAAATTACCTATATTAAAATGATAGAAATCGATTCAGTAAACGATTCTGAACGAACTACTTTCTCAAAGTGCGTTAATTATGTTACATGTTGTATATCCTATACCTTTAAACGAGCAAATCTTGTATATATATATATATATATATATATGTATATATGTATAGAGATCTCTTTACGGTAAATGTTGATCAGACGCGACTTCACGCGAGCACTTTGTTGATCCGAAAACGCATGTTGATCCGGCGCCTTTTGTTGATCCAATATGCATCTCTGATAACTAATGTGGCTCCGACCGGAGCAACATCTTCACTCACGAGACTGTTTGCTAGCGTTGGCCGAAGTTGATCCGATATACAAATCCACCTTGCGATGGTTACGGAAAATGTTGATCCGATTTAAATGAGCCAATGAGAACACAGCAAACGATAAGATAAATGATCGGATGGCTGTATGCAGCCGCGACGTTGCCGTTTCGTATCTTTGGCGGTACAAGCTACAGATTAAATACGTGTTATGTAATGCATTCAGGGTGCTGTTTGGTCTACCTCGTTATTGTAATGCGCCGGGTATGTTCGCGGATGCGCGTGTCGATTGTTTCTACACCACCATGCGTAAATGATGCACATCCCTGGTGCGCAGGGTGCGGGCCAGTGCCAATGGTATCCTGAGGGCATTTTCTGATAGGTTTGAGGTCAGTACCTGAACCATTGTCATATGATGCAAGTGCTGAGTAATCGGGCCTGTCTTATATACAGGTTTAAAATTAGGTAAATAGTTTTAAGTTTTAAGAAAATTAGTTTTAAGATTTGTATTATTACTATCCACTATGATCCTTGTGGTCGAAATAAACGACTTTTTTTAACGAATTACTCCACAATGCCCCTTCTTCTAGCGGAAGTGGTGGCAACGGCGACATAAGGTATTCGTCTGAGTACGTGTTTGCGATCGTGCGTGTGTGTGTGTGTGTGTGTGTGAGAGAGAGAGAGAGAGAGAGTGAGTGCGCGCGCGCGCGTGTGTGTGTGTGTATTTGTGTGCATATGTGTGCGCGCGCGCGTGTGTGTGTATGTGTGTGTGTATGTGTGTGTTTGTGTGCATACGTTTGACGACTCCGTGGCGTAGTGCCTTAGCAATGACTGGCTACGCTGGGTGTCGCGGGTTCGAATCCCGCACGGAACAAGTGTTTGTATGGCCTACAAAAAATTGTTCCGGGTCTGGATGTTTGTCCTTGTGCAATTTATGTTTGTAAACTGCCCCCATGATACAGGAGCAAATCCTAGTGTAGGGATAACTTATTTTTTTAAATAGAAAAGAAAAAAGAAGAAAAAATATGTGTGCGTGTGCGTATGTGTACGTGTGTGTGTGTGTGTGTGTGTGTGTGTGTTTGTGTTGTGTTTGTGTGTGTGTGTGTGTGTGTGTGTGTGTGTGTGTGTGTGTGTGTGTGTGTGTGTGTGTGAATGGGTGTGAATGTGTGCACTGTTGTGTTTGTGTGTTTGCGTGTGTGTGCGGCAGTGTACGTGTGTGAGTGTGTGTATGCGTTTGTGCGTGTGCGCATGTGTGCATGTTTGCACGCGCGCTTGCGTGTTTGTGTGTGTGTGTGTGTGTGTGTTTACCATAAACCAGTTAAGATGTTTTCTACATCTTCATAATCAAGATTTTTAAGGACGCGTTTACAAAATTAATAAGTATAGAATCGAACTATTACATGAGATATTATCATGAGACCTTACCTCCGGTCTTGATGTAGTGACCTCAAAATGTAATTCGGAATTACTAGTGGAACTCCTGGACTAGTAGAACTGGGTGTGCTGAGTTTGGGCTCGTTTTGTTAGTTATGATGAGTCCTTACCTCCGGACTTGCTGAAGTGACCTGAAGGTGTACTTCGGTATCTAACACTGTAACACCTGGACTAGTAGAGCTAGGTATGCCGAGTTTGGTTTTTTTTGTTAGTTTTGATGAAACCGTCACAAAAGAAAAGTTCTTTTCACTTATCTCTTGTACCAATAGGTATCCAAGCTGATATTCGGAAAAATGAATAACCTCGTAGTAACATCTTTAGGGGCAGTATCGATATCTACTTACCAGCCACACTGTTTTTCGCTGTAACCAACTGTCCTTTATCCCTTTATGGGGCTCTGTCGATATATTCGACACCATACTTTTTATTGATTTATTTTTAAACTGCTAGCAGTTTGGTACTGCGATAGTCTGTATTCGATTCGGACAGGTCATAGCAAAAACGAAACGCAAAAAGAAAAAAAAAGTACGGCTGACATTGACAGCTGATGACATCTTATGTCATTATTTGGCTGTTTTCTGAAGTGCAAATTTCATCCAAGAACAACTTCGCGAAAAATGAGTAAAAAAGGTAAGTTTTCTTTTATGATTTGTTCTAAATATTATAAATATTGCAGCTTACTCAGTATTTCAGAATATATTACGTTTTTACATACATATTCAACGAAAAATTATGACGTCGATATATTCGACACTGCCCGCCCAGGGCTGGGCTAGGATTTATATTGTAATTGTATAGAATTCTTACAATTAAATATTAGGTAGTATAATTTAATATTTCCTTATTATAGGTGATCCCATTAGAGAAGTTGGAAGATACTCTCGCAGACTTATTTGCTTTGTCGGACGGCGAAAACTCCGAAGACGACAATGAGAGTGATGAAGACGAGAATGAAGCAGTTTTCTCATCATTTACCAGTACAGCACCTGAGGATATTTTATTTGGATCTGGTCTGAATGAATCACAGCCAACAACATCAACAGTTTCGATCCTTCCGTCATCTTCTAATATGGATATATCTGCCACACATGATAGTATTACAGGTAGTACTCAACCTACTCCCTCTAATTCTAGAATGTCTTCAACCCAAGACCTGTTACACCTGTAGTTACACAAGCTGATGACACGGATAACTCGGAAGACAGTTCAGAAAATAACTCGGAAGATGATGGCGATGAAGAGTGGAAAAAAGTGCAATTTCCACACATCCCGCCTACTGAGAAATTTGATGAAATTTTACTGCGACCATCACAGTTTTTTCCTAATCGAAGTTCTCCTCGGACATATTTCAATGTTTTTTTGAATGATGAAGTCCTATTGAACATAGTTGATCAAATTTATACGCAGCCCAAAACCGACAGAAAGATTGGGATATTGTAACATTGCAGGAGCTAAAAGCTTTTTTTGGTATTTTGATACTTATGGGCATTCACGTACTTCCAAATATATCTCTCTACTGATCTTCCGATCCTATGTTCCGTGTGGCAGAGATTGCTAATGTTATGACAGTGAAGAGATTTAAAAAGATTTTGGCAAATTTACACCTAAACGACAACAGTCAAATGCCCAAGAGAGGTGAAGAAGGGTATGATAAACTTTACAAAATAAGGCCTATGATCAAAATTTTGAATAGTGCTTTCTAAAGTGGTGGAGTGTGCTCATCATCGCAAAGCATAGATGAGTGCATGATTAAATTCAAAGGGCGTAGCACTCTGAAGCAGTATATGCCAAAAAAACCAGTAAAACGGGGTTTCAAAGTGTGGTCGCGCTGTGACAGTCTGACTGCAGACTGTCACAGCGCCACTACAGAGGTTGGATTAGGAGCCAGTGTGGTAAGAGAACTATCAAAAAATCTTATTGATGAAAAGGTTGAGAATACTCACATCGCTTTTGATAATTTTTTTTGCGTCCCATGAGCTATTGCAGTACCTTTTGATAATAATATTTATGCAACTGCAACTGTACGCGCAGATCGTACAAACTTGCCCAAACTTATAAAAAACCAAAAAAAAAGAAAGATGAACCTAAACCGCCTCCTCTGGTACTAGCTAAAGGAGAGTACAAATGGCGAGTCAACCAGAACGTCGCATTTTTTGTATGGAAAGATACTAAATTGGTGTATGTATTGAGTACTGCTTATCATCCCCGTCAGAAAACAACATGTAGAAGAACGCAGAAGGATGGTTCGAAGTCTGACGTTTCTTGTCCCATAGGAATCCTGGAGTATACCAAAAGAATGGGAGGAGTTGATAGATTTGACCAGAAGAGAGGTACATACTCCATCGCAAGACGTAGTAAGAGATGGTGGATGCGAATATTTTACTTTTTGGTTGATTCTGCCATTACAAATGCCTATATAATATACACCCAAAATGACAGAGTGCACAACCCTATGACCTCCTTGCATTTCCGCACCGTGCTCGCACGTAACCTGATAGACAACTTCAGCTCCAGGAAAAGGACTGTGGCACAATCGACCAACTTTGTAGCTAAAAAACCAAAAGGGCCAACAAGTAGACAGAAGGCCATTCACGGAATACCTGATGAACTGAGGTTGAATGATGTGGGGTCTCACATGCCAATGGAGCTACCCAAATACAGAAGGTGCAGAGCATGCAGCAGCAAAAACCTTAACAAAACATCCAAAATACAGTGCACAAAATGCCAAGTTCCATTGTGCATTGTACCATGCTTTGCTCAGTTCCATACACCCTGAAGGGCAGTGTCGAATATGTCGACACCACGATTTTTTTTAAAAAAAAATAAAAAATATATCTTAAAATTAATAAAAAAAATACATTTTCACATACAAGTGTTATTTTTTCATTTCCCCAGCCAGGAGCTTCTGCCCCTTAAAGGGTTATATGAGCCTCACTTGCCCTCACGCGGTAACCACTTTACTGCACTCCAGTGCACCCACCAACATCTCTGCCACCTAGGCCTCCGCATCTACCACCGCACCCCTCTCTAAGCTTTCGTTCTCCACCTCCGCTACCTCCGCCTCCACCATAAACTCTGCTCCATCCGCCTCAACAATAAACTCCGCTCCCTCCGCCGCCACCACCACGCGCCGTCACTATTCTTTCCGCCTCCAACACAATTCCCCGTTTCCACTATTACTGACTTCACCACAAATTTCTCTCCTCCGCCTTCACTAGATACTACGCTGCATTCACCTCCGCCTCCACATCTCCGCCTCCGTTTTCTGGACACACACACACACACACACACACACACACAAACACACACACATACACACACAAACACGCACTCAGACGAACACACACGTACGCACCCACACCGCACGCACGCACGCACACGCACTCGCATACACACACGTGCGCTCTCGCGCACTCACATAAATACAGACACACACACGCACACCTAAGCACACACACACACGTACGCACGTACACACACACACAAGTATGCACGTACGCACACACACACACGCACAAACACAGACACAAATTCACACTCATACAAACACACGCGCGCGCACACATACATAAACGCACGCGCGCGCGCGCACACATACACATACGCGCGTGCGCTCGCACACACACACACACACACACACACACACACACGCAACCACACATACACACACACACACGCGCGCGCGCACGAACAAACACACATACACGCACAAGCACATACACAAACACAAAACAACAGTGGACACACGCACGCACACACGCACACACTCGTACCCACACACACAACAAACTCGTATAAAAACACACACACACACACACTCGAGTGAACGCTACAATTAATTTATTTGTACACATTTTTTTTTTAAATTTGTAAAACACTAAAATTAATTTGTAGTAAAGTACTATCCATCATCTTCTAATTGATCTATGACAAATGAATAAAATAACAGAAATTCACTCACACGATAACAAAAACTCGAACAAACGTCTTTCCACAATAAAACCTGCCAACCAAAGTTTGATCCACAAAATCAGCATATAACGTATTTTCTTACCTTATTACTATAACGAAGTAGCCTACTGGGTTCTCTGTCACACGCAGAACGCGACGTTGCCGCTTCGTGTTCGAGTACCTATTCGTCAATTATGGATCCGGATCCACTTAGTCTAAGTAAATGTCGCATATAAATTAAATATACTCTGGATCTAAAAAATCATATTCAGTATGATTTTTTCGACCGTTTATAGATCAACAAATGTTGGTCAAATCGCTGACGAGTATATTGAAATCCTGTTAGTGCAGATCCACCGACGTCACACGCGCATCAAGAATGGATCAAAGTATATCAGTTTGTGCGACGAGGAGCTGAGCAAATACGTCAAATAGGTGGATCAACAATTGTTCTAACTTCTCACTGGATCAACATTTACCGTGAAAGGATGATTATATATATATATATATATATATATATATATATATATATATATATATATATATATATATATATATATATATATATATATATATTAAATCGGAATCTCGGAAACAGCTCCAACGATTTTCACAAAATTTAGTGTCCAGGGAGTTTCGGGGGCAATAAATCGATCTAGATAGGATTTATTTTTAGAAAATGTCTTTTTGTCCGTGTTTTTAGGCAATGAAAAACTGCTACAATATCGTTATAATAAAAAGATAAATTTTGACAGGTTATTAATGATTGCAAATAGCTTAATTGGTATATTGGGCGGTCACAAAATCCTAATACCATGATTCGAGTCCAGACCGACCAACTGACTTTTTTTAATTTTTTTTTCAAGTACTTTTCTTTTTTTGAGAAAATCTATTTTTTCGAGCCCTTTTTTTAAGTATTTTTTTAAAAACACGAAAATTTAAATTAAACTAATTGCACTCTTATATTTAATTTTTATTCAAATAACCAGTTCAGTTTTTTCTATTACGAGGGTGGATTGAAAAGTACTCGGCCTAACCAAGAAAATAAACACATACTAAATCAGTTATATTTTTATTTTTCTACATAATCACCATCAAGTTCAATACATTTTTGCCACCTCCCCTTCCAAGCATTTAGACCGTTGAAAAAAAATGATTCTTCCTTAGAGTCAAAATATGCGTCTACAGTTGCTTTGACCTCGTCGTTTGTCGAAAATCTTTGACCTCCCAAGTGCTTTTTTAGGTTAGGGAACAGAAAGAAGTCTGATGATGCCAGATCAGGTGAATACGGCGGATGCGGTAACAGTTCAACCTTCACCTTCACGGTAACTGCTGTGCGATTGTGGAACTCTTTACCTCTCCATATTCGGTGTGCTAAATCTCTTCACTCTTTTAAAAGTCTTGTTTAATCGTATTATTTAGAACGCTATGAGATAAATTACTTTACCTTTCTCGTACCTACTCTTTTCATTTAATCTATTATATGATATTTTATATAAAATTTTCACTTTTTTTATTTGTATGTATTATTATATTTTTTATTATTATTGTGTATGCCCCCCTCTTTTTAACTTTTGTTTGCATCGTTCCTCTTCGCAAAGGTTGTCTAGAAGAAATCACTTTCAGAGTGATAAGACCGCCTATTGTACATACTTTATTTTAGTTTTAACTGTACTTGATGTTTCTGTATTGTGGTGTACAAAAAAGAATAAATAAATAAATAAAATAAATACGATATTATATATCGATATATTTTTTTCATTGAAAAAATACTAGTTTTTACGGAATTTATCGCGTATATTTAACTTTTTAAATACCTGACGTTTCGAACGCTTTACGGCACTCATGGTCACGGGCGGGACTGAGATGTTCAACGTCCATATGTCATAGTTAACTGTTTCTATTCCTGTACGTGTTTACAGGATCGCCCCCGTCACTACATCAGATTTGATAGACCGCAAATCCTCGCTAAAGAACACCGATTCCTTCCAAGGATGATTCGCGAGGCTATTGAAATCAAAAAACATCCTAATTTCAATAGAGAAGATGGCTGGGTGCTACCATCTGCTTGGGATCCTATAATAAATAAAATTTCCCAACCCAAGCATACAACTGCAAGACTTCAAGATACCATAAGTTCATACTGCATAGACCGGAACAAAAGTTAAATTTTAATCTATGGTAACCAGGTAACCGCGGTTAACTATGACATATGGGCGTTGAACATCTCAGTCCCGCCCACAGAACACTATTACTCCTATCGGAGTCCCGCCCGTGACCATGAGTGCTGTAAAGCGTTCGAAACGTCGGGTATTTAAAAAGTTAAATATACGCGATAAATTCCGTAAAAACTAGTATTATTTCAATGTGTAGTGTTCGCGTAAATATAATAAAAATTTTTTTTTTCACTTGCCCATCCTCAATATGATGCTTACCACGGAAGTACAGAATGTTCCCAGTATACAGGCGAATACAAATTACGTCATTTAATTGCCATATTGTGTTGGATATCCTGCCAGTTCAAAACAATTTTTAATTCTGTGTACGCGGAATAAAGCATGTCAGATTTTTTTATTTATTCAAATACAAAAAAATTATAAAATAAATACTGATATCTCCATTCTTCACAAATTAATCGAAACAAGATATAATGACTTTTGGAGCACAAAATGACAAAATAATCGCCAAAATGTTTCCAATATGGTGCAAATGTATGAAATCATATCAATGTTTTGAAACGAATCACAAGTATGGCGTCGGTTTATGGCGTCATTTGCATTGGCCAGTACACTGGGTTCTGTTTTGGAACATACTCATATTATCCATGATCCCATGAAGGTTAAAGAACAGGAGAACGATCGTTATAGAAAATAGTGTCCCAGAAATATGGATAAAATAAGGGAGGCGCTGCGGTCGTTAAGTTACCTCAATAATGTTTTTTTATAATTTTAGTAATTATAAATATTATAAATTATTACAAATATAAATTATTATTTATTTTGATTTATTATTATTATTATTTCATTTATATTATAAATACAATACAATACTCCTTATTGTACACCAACGAAACATAAATATAACAAATTATTAACACACAATGTGGGAAAAACAAAAGGCGGTTTTATTGCTACATAGCAATCTCTTCCAGACAACCCAGAAGAGGAAATTAATAAACAATAGTAATAAGATTAATGGGTAGGGTGCACTAAATTAGAAAAAAAATACAAACTTATATGTACAAAAATTACAACGTACTTTAGGTAGATTAATGACCATAACTGAGAGGAGGAAGAGAGAGGAGTTAAAGAGACAAATTGTGTTTTGGACCGTGGAGGACTCAGGACCGTGCTTTGTGGCATTCCTTGGGGGAGGCGTATGAGTGCAGTGGACTTATGAAAGGCTATAATGATGATGATGATGATGATTTTATAAGGGATGTAAAGACAGCCTCCCGAAAACTTTAACCATAAACTCATCATGACCATCATCCTGAGCAAGCTACTGAAGGAATATAAAACTTATTAAAACTGATGTCCATTTATAAATTAAAATTTTATAGATGAATATAATTTTTAATAAATTTATATCTATATAAATTTATTGTATTTAGTTACTTAAGTCACCTGCCACTAATTTCTCACCACGCCATGGGTTGACTGGCAAAGAATGCTAACTGGCATTAAGTCCGCCCTTTGTAACCTTTTTTATTGGTTTGAACAATAAAGTTTTTAAATAAAAATAATGAACATAAACTTTTTTCATAATATCCCAAATTCTTGTATTTTGTGTTCACCCTAAATAGAAAGAGACTGAGGGGTAATG